TTTCCCAGGGGCTAGCACTCGTGGGCAGCCCCCCTGGGCAATGTTAGGCCTGACCCAGAAGACAAGCAGGGCCACTCTCAGGAAGCAAACAGGTTTGTACACCCTTAAGATCGGGTTGCATGGAGACAGACTGAGGGGCCTCTGGATGTTTGTGGACTACGTGGGTCCTGCAATTTGTAGTGGGCAGAGAGCCTCTGAGCAGGGTGCTCCTGTCCTCCTCTTCCACCATGCCTCTCTTTACTCCAGGATATCTTAACAACATAAAGCACACTGCTCAGTGATCTCTTCAGGTAGTTCATTGCCTTAAAACTAGAACTGGTGAAGAATTTCCTGTAAAACCATCAAGATAATACTCACTGGTAAAGGAATTCACTTTGCTAAAACCAGAGGCACTAAAAAAGAGCAGCAGTTTCTAAATACAGAGATCTACGACCTAGCAGTTACAATTAGCAAGTGATAAAACCTCTCTAGTGGCCTCTCTTCTCCCCAGAGTAAGACAGGAAATCACCACTTTCCTAAAGTCTTCCTTCACAAAACACTAATCACTTCGCTTAGTTTTGCAGGCAGGCATATATGTACCTTGGTTTGAATACATCCCAATGATTTTTTTAAGCTATCGGGTCCAGGACTCAAACCGCGGTCGACTACATGGGAGTCGAGCAACATAGCCATTATGCTAACTGCTGGTCCCCATCCCAATGATTTTTTTAAGTGAGCACAATTTTTTTGTTTTTTAAGAAAAATTTTTGCTATAGGGTGCATGTGTTTGCTGGAGAGAAAGACAGAAAGTGAGGAATCAGCCCTCCGTGGGGGATGGTCATGCCACAGTCCCTTGTCCTCCGTTCTCCTCTCAGGATTTTGGGCATGCATACACACATGCCTGGCATGAGTTTCAAGCCTCTAGGTCTGAGACTTGAACCACAGTCGACTGTATGGGACTCCAGCAATGCAGCCATTACACCGTCTGCTGCTCCCAGGGGAGCACAGTTTTTACCCACTCGGTTACACCTTGAACTTACTGACAATGTGTTTGATGGGATATTTTTCGTATTTGCACAGCAGCTGTGTGTATCACTTTGTGGGTAGCCTCAACTCAGTTAAACTCTTGGCTTGCTGAACAGAGGCATGCTGGGCCCAGAGCGTAGACGTGACCCTGAGCGTCAGCTGACATTTCAGGGTCCGTTATAATCAGCCTCCTAATGGGAGCCATTGCTGCATCACTTTCAAGTGTCATGGCAAGTCCCATGGTGGCTTTCAGCCAACAGTGACTGAGCCCTCTTCCTCCTCCTCCTCACACCCCTGGTGCTCCCTGTCAAGGTGAACAGCGGCCTAAAAGGAACTGAATAAGGAAAAGGTGGTTGTTAATGGCCCAAATACTCTGTTGGCTTTTAGTTTGCTGCATATTTAAATATTGTTAACATGTCTGTTTCTCAGAGAATGAGATGTCAGAAACTACATGTTTGCAGAAAAATCTTAAGTAAAATCAGTTTGGGTCACTAATGCAAAGACATCAGTAAGGGATACATCTATCTGAAACTGTCATTTGTCTATAAATGTATAAAGCTTTATCATTTGTAAAACTGACTTCCTTATGATTATTTCATGAACAGAAATGTGTCTTCAAAAAATAAATTTTTCCCAGAACTTATGAAACACATCTTCCTCTGGAGGTTCAGTTAATGTAACTTAGCAGTTAAGGTTCATCAAGAGCCACCCATTATTCGAGTTGACGTATTTCTATGGTCTTGTTGCCCTGCAAACATCTGATCACATGACAAACTTCTGAGAATACCCGTCCAGGCGCTGTGGCTCTGTGTGCCCCTGCAGGCCGTAGCGTTATTTCATAATACCACTGACACATGCCGTCATGGTCAGTTCAGCATTCCATTTGAGCCTCACGATAATCCTGTGAGGCATCGTGCCCCCATTTCATAGATGAGGAATTAGGCCTAGAGGGATTACCTGATTTGGTTAAAGACACAGGATTCAAGTGAAATCACACTTTTCTGACCCTAAGTCTTGTGCTTAACCTTGACACACTATCAGTAAATCCACATAAGCATGTATCTTTTAAGATTTTTATTCTGGAGCTCATGCACTTGCCAGAGAGACAGAGAGAGGGAGAGAAAGTGAGAAATTACCAGTCAGAGGGGATGGCCACGCCCCAATCCCTTCTCCATTCTCCTCTTAGGACTCTGGACATGCACACATCTGCACCCAACATGATTTTCTAGCTGCCGTGCCCAGGACTCACCCTGCAGAGTCGGCCATACAGGATCCAGCACCTTAACCTCCACTCTACCTGCTGGCCCATAAGCATGTACCTTAATTGTGTCTTGTGCTGGGCCATGAGGAAATGACTAGGGATTCTCACTTTAGCCCCTTAAGGATGCTGAAATAGATGCTGGGCTGGACAGACCTTGTTGGGGCCCCAGGATTGGTGGGGCGTGTCTTCAGCAATGGTGTTACCCCACCCACCCCCGACCTCGCCCTCGGTCCCTGCACCAGAAGGCTGACTTTCTCTTGACTTGCTGTTTTGCAGTTCCACGCGCTGTCCTCCCCGCAGTCTCCTTTCCCCCCGACCCCCACCTCCAGGCGGGCCCTGCACAGGACGCTGTCGGACGAGAGCATTTACAGTGGCCAGAGGGAGCACTTCTTCACCTCCAGAGCTTCACTTCTGGACCAAGCCCTGCCCAATGACGTCCTCTTCAGCAGCACATACCCCTCTCTCCCCAAGTCTCTCCCACTGCGGAGACCTTCCTACACCTTGGGGATGAAGTCACTGCATGGTGAGTGCACCTCTAGCTGCAGCCGAACAGCCCTGCTGGCGATGACCATGTGTCCGGGCATGGCCTTCATTCAGGTTGCCCGGAGAGTGGCACTGGAGGAAGTCTGCCCACCAACCCCTCCTCATCCTCCCTCTCTCTTCCTGTGATCCCTGACTACATGAGTCACTTAAGATGCTAGTGAAAAATAGCTTCCCAGACCCAACCTCAGTGGCTCATGCTGGTACACACTTCCTTCCACTTGGCAGGCTGAGACCACACTGAGGTGCCCAGGTTCCATTCTCAAGCCACCAAAAAACTGGGTACACATTTGTGGTCCAGCTAATTAAGGGGCTGAGTTGGAGAATTGCAACATAATGAGTTTGTTGTTGTTGTTGTTCTTTTATAGAGATTTTTGCCTTAGAGTGTGTGCTTGCCAGAGAGAGAGAGAGACAGAGACAGTGAGAAATCACCCCCCAGGAGGGATGGCCATGCTGTAGTCCCTGCTCTTCCTGGGATCTCGGGCACACGTGCACACTAACCCAGCATGATTTTTCAAACAACCAGGTCCAGGAGTTGAACTACGGTTGGCTCTGTGGTAGTCCAGCCCCGTACTGCTACACCATCTGCTGGCCCCCCCCCACGGTACAATATCTTTAAAAAACTCAGGTGCCCAGACCCTCCAGGAGACCTGTGGAATTTGGATCACCAAGGAAGTAGTCTGGGTGTTGGTATTCATAGCAGATACTCCGGCCCGTTTAGGAATGGGCAGATTTGGCCAATGCCAGTTCACTTAGAGAGTCGGATCCACAGCTTCCTGCAACCACTGCCAAACCCAGACCCGCCGGTGCTCTTCATGGCAAGTCCCATGGTGGCTTTCAGCCAACAGTGACTGAGCCCTCTTCCTCCTCCTCCTCACACCCCTGGTGCTCCCTGTCAAGGTGAACAGCGGCCTAAAAGGAACTGAATAAGGAAAAGGTGGTTGTTAATGGCCCAAATACTCTGTTGGCTTTTAGTTTGCTGCATATTTAAATATTGTTAACATGTCTGTTTCTCAGAGAATGAGATGTCAGAAACTACATGTTTGCAGAAAAATCTTAAGTAAAATCAGTTTGGGTCACTAATGCAAAGACATCAGTAAGGGATACATCTATCTGAAACTGTCATTTGTCTATAAATGTATAAAGCTTTATCATTTGTAAAACTGACTTCCTTATGATTATTTCATGAACAGAAATGTGTCTTCAAAAAATAAATTTTTCCCAGAACTTATGAAACACATCTTCCTCTGGAGGTTCAGTTAATGTAACTTAGCAGTTAAGGTTCATCAAGAGCCACCCATTATTCGAGTTGACGTATTTCTATGGTCTTGTTGCCCTGCAAACATCTGATCACATGACAAACTTCTGAGAATACCCGTCCAGGCGCTGTGGCTCTGTGTGCCCCTGCAGGCCGTAGCGTTATTTCATAATACCACTGACACATGCCGTCATGGTCAGTTCAGCATTCCATTTGAGCCTCACGATAATCCTGTGAGGCATCGTGCCCCCATTTCATAGATGAGGAATTAGGCCTAGAGGGATTACCTGATTTGGTTAAAGACACAGGATTCAAGTGAAATCACACTTTTCTGACCCTAAGTCTTGTGCTTAACCTTGACACACTATCAGTAAATCCACATAAGCATGTATCTTTTAAGATTTTTATTCTGGAGCTCATGCACTTGCCAGAGAGACAGAGAGAGGGAGAGAAAGTGAGAAATTACCAGTCAGAGGGGATGGCCACGCCCCAATCCCTTCTCCATTCTCCTCTTAGGACTCTGGACATGCACACATCTGCACCCGACATGATTTTCTAGCTGCCGTGCCCAGGACTCACCCTGCAGAGTCGGCCATACAGGGTCCAGCACCTTAACCTCCACTCTACCTGCTGGCCCATAAGCATGTACCTTAATTGTGTCTTGTGCTGGGCCATGAGGAAATGACTAGGGATTCTCACTTTAGCCCCTTAAGGATGCTGAAATAGATGCTGGGCTGGACAGACCTTGTTGGGGCCCCAGGATTGGTGGGGCGTGTCTTCAGCAATGGTGTTACCCCACCCACCCCCGACCTCGCCCTCGGTCCCTGCACCAGAAGGCTGACTTTCTCTTGACTTGCTGTTTTGCAGTTCCACGCGCTGTCCTCCCCGCAGTCTCCTTTCCCCCCGACCCCCACCTCCAGGCGGGCCCTGCACAGGACGCTGTCGGACGAGAGCATTTACAGTGGCCAGAGGGAGCACTTCTTCACCTCCAGAGCTTCACTTCTGGACCAAGCCCTGCCCAATGACGTCCTCTTCAGCAGCACATACCCCTCTCTCCCCAAGTCTCTCCCACTGCGGAGACCTTCCTACACCTTGGGGATGAAGTCACTGCATGGTGAGTGCACCTCTAGCTGCAGCCGAACAGCCCTGCTGGCGATGACCATGTGTCCGGGCATGGCCTTCATTCAGGTTGCCCGGAGAGTGGCACTGGAGGAAGTCTGCCCACCAACCCCTCCTCATCCTCCCTCTCTCTTCCTGTGATCCCTGACTACATGAGTCACTTAAGATGCTAGTGAAAAATAGCTTCCCAGACCCAACCTCAGTGGCTCATGCTGGTACACACTTCCTTCCACTTGGCAGGCTGAGACCACACTGAGGTGCCCAGGTTCCATTCTCAAGCCACCAAAAAACTGGGTACACATTTGTGGTCCAGCTAATTAAGGGGCTGAGTTGGAGAATTGCAACATAATGAGTTTGTTGTTGTTGTTGTTCTTTTATAGAGATTTTTGCCTTAGAGTGTGTGCTTGCCAGAGAGAGAGAGAGAGACAGAGACAGTGAGAAATCACCCCCCAGGAGGGATGGCCATGCTGTAGTCCCTGCTCTTCCTGGGATCTCGGGCACACGTGCACACTAACCCAGCATGATTTTTCAAACAACCAGGTCCAGGAGTTGAACTACGGTTGGCTCTGTGGTAGTCCAGCCCCGTACTGCTACACCATCTGCTGGCCCCCCCCCACGGTACAATATCTTTAAAAAACTCAGGTGCCCAGACCCTCCAGGAGACCTGTGGAATTTGGATCACCAAGGAAGTAGTCTGGGTGTTGGTATTCATAGCAGATACTCCGGCCCGTTTAGGAGTGGGCAGATTTGGCCAATGCCAGTTCACTTAGAGAGTCGGATCCACAGCTTCCTGCAACCACTGCCAAACCCAGACCTGCCGTTGCTCTCTCCCCACGGGTTATAAGGGTAATGCCCATTGGTCAGCCACTCATTTGTTAAGTCATTCAACTCCTGTGAGTAAGCAAGCGTTACTTAGGGAAAAGGCTTACTGATACAGAGCACCTGTACGTTCTCGCCTCTGTCCATGTATGACTTACTTCGCTCTGTGACCCAACTAGGTCATAGTTTTAGTATTAAGGGCCATCTGGAATCTGGATCTAAATTTGATCTCTCTGTCCACCTCTGTTCCAAGGCCCTACACCTTTCTTCCCAGCAATGGCCCAGCATGGCAGATAACTATCCTGGGACCCCGTGCTTCTGACGTTTCTCACATGGCTGTACCCTCAGCCCTCTTATGTCCTTCCTCCTGCAAATTCTGTTGTAGCTCTTTTCTTGTGTCCATTTATATCCCCCATTTCTTTTCCTTTTGCTGCTTCTGTGGACCAGCAAGTTCTTCAAATCACCTGCCTACCCTGGGCTATTCTGAGTCTTCAGCCACCCTCATGTCTTGGTCCTGCTCACTGCTAAGCGACGTGGCCCCCTTCCTCCCTCTCCCCTGTGGTGAGCATCACTCAAGGATCACACCATCCTCCCCCACTTCCTTCCCCAGCCACCTGCAACGTAAATCTGGTTTCTCTTTTCTCCAGAAAGTCACCCCCAGTCAACCAAAGTTGACATGTGACATGAACACTATTTACCATCAGACCCTAGAAAAATCCTTTTAGTAGTGACTAATGGGCCCCTAACCTTTTTTCTCCTCCTCTCCCCAGGTCAGGGCCACCTTCCCTTGAGCTCCATTGCCCTATAATTTCCTGCTTGCTTTGAATGCTGCTCTCATTTCCGTGCACTTCACTTTTACCTCTGCAGTAATAACGCCCCTGTGTGAAGTTGTCTGCGTGGGCCCTGCCTGCTAGGGGCTTCCACTCTGAGATAGCAACTTGAGATCTGCCTCCCACGTGGTCACCGTGCAGCCAAGGACAGTGGACTGATAGCCCAAAGAGAGCCACAGAGCCCCGTGGAAAGGGAAGGTGTGGACTGGGCAGCCCTCCCTGGGCACCTTCCTTCCCATCTCCCCCTGCTCTCCAGGAAGGCAGGCCACTGCTGGCAGTGCTGGTCTCATTCCTTTTTTTTTTTTGGAGAGGTTTTTTTCGCTATAGGGCGCGTGCGCTTGCCAGACAGACAGAGAGACAGAGAGACAGAAAGCGAGAAATCACCCCCCAGGGGGGATGGCCACGCCACAATCCCTTCTCCGTTCTCCTCTTGGGACCTTGGGCACGCAAGCACACGCGCCCGGCGTGAGTTTTAAGCCACCGGGTCTGGGATGCAAACCGCGGTCCACTATGGGGGAGTCCAGCGACATAGCCATTACGCTAACTGCTGGTTCCTGGCAGTGCTGGTCTCATTCCTAAGCCCTGCCCCATTGAGTGCCAGCAGTGAAGTGTGGGGGGAGGGAGGGAGAGAGGGATGGAGGACTGACTTCTTTTTCCTGGGTCCCAGAGATAAAAGGGCAGAAGGCTTGTGAGTGACACACAGAAGTGTCTGTGCCACTTACTTGCTTTGGTGGGAGCAAGTTCAATAGAATGGAGCATTTAATATCGCGCAGTATTTATTGACTTCCATTTGCTCCCAATTTTGCTTATTTTAAGCACATTAATAACTAGCAGCTGCACTTCAGAGCAGTTCTTCATGTAATTTGAAAGGGAAAATAAGCACTAAATATACTCCAGCTCACCAGGCTTTCTTCCTAAGACAAAATTTTAACTCCTTATAAACAGGTATTTCTAGAGTGTCAACCTAGCTTTACCTTCAGCTGTGTCCTCGTGGATTTCAAAGTTATGGTCCCCCTTCTGAGGGCGGTCCTTCTCAAGGATTTGCACACTCTGCCTTGTCTCTACCCCAGCTCCTGCCTCCCAGGGCTTTTATGTTTCAGGAGCTGTTTTCCCTGCATCTCCCCCATCCCCACCCCTCCCTTTGTGTCCTCTACCTGCATGGCCTTGAGCACTTCAGCATTCCCTCAGATGGCCCCAGGGGACTCACGGTGCTCCTGTCTCCCTGCCCCAGGCTAAGCAAAGCTTAGTTGTGAAGTCAGTTAGTTGTTGTGGTGGTTTAATTCATAATGCAGTGAATTGTCACCCTAGAAAGGGCTCTGGACAGGGACCAACAGATGGCGTAATGGTTATGTTGCTGGACTCCCACGTAGTTGTTCTCAGTTCAAGTCTCGGACCTGGTGGCTTAAAACTCATGATGCTGGGTGCCCGTGAGTGTGTGCCTGCCCTAAATCCCAAGAGGACAATGGAGGCAAAGAGATTGTGGCCTGGCCATCTTTCCTGAGGGGTGATTTCTCACTTTCTATCTGTCTCTGTCTCTCCAGCAAGTACACACGCCCTATAGCAAAAATCTCTTTTAAAAAAATGGGAGATGAGACTGCCATAACCCAGAACTGATCCTAGGAGTTGCTTGTGTGGTGAGCATGTCCTTGGGAAGGAGTATAAAGCCGACACCAACCCCAGGACTCCCTTGTTGCTTCACTCTGTATGAGGAGTCTGGCCCTCTCACGTGCATTGATTTGCTTCTCATGCCACCTGGATACATCAGACCATGGAAGCAAGTGGCTACTCCTGGGCTCCAGAACAGAGACGCCTGGGATACGGGGAGTCCCCAGAGGCAGGGGTAGGATCCTGGCTTCCAGTTCAGAAAATAATCCCTATTGTCCCCTCCAGTGAGAATCAACATCCCTGGCCTGGCTCCCGGGTCCAGCTCTCTGTTGAAGTAGGCCTCTTCCTACCAGCCGACTCCTGCCTTGTGAGGGAAGACTGGATGCGGGAGCTGCCCTGGACCCGCTGAGAACAGACAGCTCCCATTACAGTAGACATGCTACTGCTTCATCAGAACTGTCCCTTGGCTTGCACTCCTAGAAGAGAGGTGGTGGGAGATGGGCATGAGAAGTACCTTATGCCTTGTTCCTTCCTGCAGGGGAGTTCTCAGCCTCAGACAGCTCCCTCACCGACATCCAGGAGACCCGGAGGCAGCCCATGCCCGACCCTGGCCTGATGCCTCTGCCTGACACCGCTGCGGATTTGGATTGGTCCAACTTGGTAGATGCTGCCAAAGCCTATGAGGGTGAGTCCACTGAGGAGCCAGACAGAGCAGCCCAGGACCCTGCAGGGCCGTGCTGGAGTGTGCCATGGTGTGAGCAAGCTGCTGTCCACTCTGCTTCTCTGGGCATGCTGACAGCAGATCCACCTCCGTGGTACAGCCAAAACCAGTCAAGCTAACAGCTGTTGAGCAGTCAGTAGGGGCCAGATCCCAGACTGGGCACCACCATGGCAGGTGTTGTTTCATTTAGTCAGATGGGACTGTGTATCCTGGCTATAGGGACGTAAACGTCAAGGTCTTGCCTCCTCCACATAAGGAATGGCAGGGGTTGGAGGAATCACAGCTGTCCCTTGACTGAGAAGAACATGTATTCTGAGAAGGTCTCTCAGCATGTTGGAAAGAGGTTGTTGCTGGGTGCACAGTCAGACGCGTCTCGTTCCTCCTGGCCGGGCCCTAGTACCGACAGATGCGGGAGGCTTCCTTTCCTCTCACTCACGTCAGCAGCACGTCTTCCGTCTGTGCTGGTCCTTTGCCAACCTGCGGGCTATGTGCTGGCTTTAGGCTGCTGGTCCTCAGACCGGTGATCTGCTCAGCAGAAATGGGAAACTAACGAATGCAGTGTGTGTGTCAACAGAAAGTTATTGAATATCATTTTTGAGTGAAGACTTACTTTTTTTTTTAAATTATCCTAAAGTTTTGGTGCTTAAAGGTTTATTATAAAATTATGATAGCTCTAGATGCTTGGGTTTTTCTTTTCTTTTTATTGCTTTTACGTGGGAGAATCAAAATTGCGATTCATTTAAGTCTCCATTTTGGGGGGAAGTTTACTAGACCACAGAATTCACATGTCCAACAGACAAGTGGTCAACAGCCAACCCAACGCCTCCTTGTTTAGTTAGCTGGTTGAAATCCCCAGTGTGAACTTGGTTTTCTAGTTTGTCAGTTAAGCTCCTTCATATAAAATGGTAGAAGTTCTTTTGTTTTTTTGTGGGTTTTTTTTGTTGTTGTTTATCTTTGTTTTGTTTTTTTAACTTTTTGGCCACAGGGCTCATGTACTCACCAGAGACAGAGAGAAAGAGAAAGTGAGAAATCACCCCCAAGAGGGGATGGCCATGATGTACTCCCTTCTCCTGGGATTGTGGGCACGCACACACACACCCAGTATGATTTTCAAGTCATCAGGCCCAGGACTCAAACTGCAGTCAGCCATGTGGGATTCCAGCACCTTAACTACCACACCACCTGCTGGCCCCTCTTGGTTTAAATTTTAAGTTAGTATATTTTGAAACACTGGTGGTGTGCACTTAAGATAAAGCCTACCACAGGGGCCAGAAAACATCCTGTGGAAAATATACTTGAAGAAACTTAATACTAGTCTTTCATACATTATACCATCACTGACTATATAGGCTTTCTCTGAAGATTTGGCACAAGGCCTATTTCCAGGAAAGCATTTAAAGAATGTTACTGTGATGAGCAAGGCAAAAGTGGGACCAGAAATTGATTCATAATAATTTTTCTAATGCTACTCTCTTAAAAAAAAAAAAGTATTAAATAATTTTTCCCTGTGAGGGTTAAGCAGTGAGATTTCTAGTTCATCCCTGAACATGGACTAAACTGGACTGTCAGTATGTGGGTCATTTGTTGACTTCTGATAAATAGGGCCCAGGGATGTGATTCCAAAACACTGAATGGTTTTTAAATTCCTTTCCAGTCCAGAGAGCCTCGTTTTTTGCTGCTAGTGAAGAAAACCACCGCCCCTTGAGCGCCGCATCCAACAGTGACCAGCTTGACGACCAGGCTCTGGCCCAGATGAAGTCTTACAGCAGGTTGGTCAGCCAGTGGCCAGGGCAGCACTCTGCATACATGTCACCCCAGCTGGTGACAGCAGATGTGGGCAAGAGGAGATGGAAACCACATGGATTGGCTGAATGAAGCTCTTCACTCCCATGGCAGACTCATTCCATTTTAGTTAGAATGTTTTGTAACGGAATACTATAAACACGATTAAACTGTTCTTGGTGACTTAAGGTTGTAATTATGAACATTCTTTATTATGTAATGCCATAATGCCTTGATGCCCTCAGGGCTTAACAGGGAAGGTAAGAGAAATCATTTGCACTAAGTGTCCAGGGGCTCCTGAGCTGTTTAGTCTGAGAGTCGTTTTTCAGTCTCTCCCCCGGCCACCATCGATGGTCACGCCTGTAAAATGAGTCTGTATCTAAGTGGCTCCCGGTCTTTCGCTGCTCCAGATCTGTTCATGCCAGAAATACGGATCACAGGGAAGGTGAGAGGTTGTATGTAAAATGCAAGTTAAACAGGCAGTAACTGAGGGCCAGGAGTTTTCTTCTGAGTTAAGAGCATGGACTTTATGACGTCTGCTTAACTATGTACAAACGACTGCCTTTTCTACTTTTCTCTTAGTTTCAAATGGTGAGATTGTTGGATATGTCTGATATTTTTATATATTAAAGCATCCCCACCGTCAGCTTTGTGCATCTAGTAAACACTAATTGGTAATGGAATAATTTCATCAGTAGAAAATCTCTTCCCTTAAAACCTTTTAAGGACGATTTAAAAATTCAGGTGTGGGGGCTAGCAGGTGGTTAGAGGTTAAGGCACTAGATTCCACATGACTAACTCCACGGTTCGAGTCCTGGTTCCAGTGGCTTGAAAATTACACTGGGCATATGTGTATGCATGCCCAAAATCTTGAGAGGAGACTGGGAGAGATGGGATTGTGGTGTGACCATCCCTCCTGAGGAGTGATTTCTCTCTTTTTCTCTCTGTCTCTCTCTCTCTGGTGAATGCACATGCCCTCAGCAAAAACTTTAAAATAAAAAATAATTAAAAAAAAAAAGAAAAAATCTAGGTACCTGTAAAACTTGGGCAGAAACAGACCATAACAAGGAAAGTGAGGTTAATGTTGATTGCACACGCACATTGCGGGACTTGAGCTCAAGGACTTCCCTGAAGAAGCCTGCAAGGAAGTGCTCTTGGTGGAGAAAGTCTAAGAATAATGGATCATTCACTCTGAGTGTAGTGAAGAAATGCTGCATTCGCTTTGCTCGTGGGACAGCTGAGGTGAGGACAGAAGCAGTTAGTTTTGCTGCTAAGAATCATTTTAAAAAAAAAATCAGAGTTGGAGGAGAGCCTAAAATGTGCCTTCTTCTGATGGGGCCTCCAGCAGAGAGAAGTGTGAGAGAGCCAAAACTGTTTCCTGAGAAAAGATTATTATAGCATCATAGACGTGTGGGCAATGGCTGGCTCTTTCCTTTGTTCAGGGCAGACTTGAACAGATGTGTGGAGTGTGTTTTTCAGTACTACCCGTGTACTCACAGACCCAGAATTCATCTTAAAGAACTTGACAAGTCAAGATCGGCTGCTTCAGTCCAGAGAGCCTGCAGTGGCTTTGCGAAGGACACTGCCACTCGCCATCCCTGGCCTCGCTGTCTCTGTCCTGCCCCACACTCTGTGCCACAGCATCTTCAGCCTTCAACCCACCCCAGATCTGACTGGCTTGCTGTATGACACCATGTGGTTGTGGGTTACAGCTGTTTCTCTTGAAATCCATTCATTGTCAGTTTTTAATTGATTGGCCTGTGTTTAAAGTTTGGAGGTCATTATCATTCCATTAGTCTGGTGCTCTGTTACATTCTGTGACACTTCGGGGACCTGTTGTAGACTTAGAATTAGCAGAAGACATTAGCACAATTTGCTTTAGGTCAGGAATTCTAACTGAACTTTGACTTTTAAAGTAAAGAATATTTTCTATTCAGTAATTCAGAAAATTCAAAGTCACTACCTCTTCCCTTTCGTCTCTGGACAGACAGAGCTGTATGTTTTCCCAGTGGATGACTTTCAGTTTTCAGTTCTGTGACTCTGAGGTTGTAAGACTTGGCCAAAACTCACACAGGAAACTCCTCAGCAGTGAGCCAGGTAGAGAGTGAGGGAAGTTGACAGCGGTGCACAGCCCTGGAATGCTAGGTAGGCCTGGGCCTCGCTGTGTCATTGAGTGGCTAGTCGGGTGGCCTTCCATCCTCCAACTCCCTCTTCTTTTGCTACTCTATTAGCACATAAATGTAACTGAGAAAATGAGAGGAAAATTGTTTGCTAATCAAATTACAGAATTTAAAACACTGAGCCTACACTGACAAGCTTTGAAACATGTAGTTTTCTAAGTATTTCAGGGTATTTAGACTTTTTAAGGCGTGGCTATGGTAACTTAGCTGCAACTGTGTGATGGCTCCACACTGTTTTTCTTGGGCATCAGAGTCCTGCCTTGTCCTGGTCTTCCCAGGGTGGATCCTTCATCAGCTACCACCCACCCCAAAACACGCACATACACACAATAGACAAGTAGCCCGCCTCTCTTAAAACCCTGTAAAGAGATCCCAAAGCACCCCTGCTGAAGCATTTTACCATTGCCAATTGTGCCTGGCAGGAAGTACCTCTTGTGCTTCCAAAGAGACTATTTTCACTTATTGTCCTTTATTCTTTTGTGTGAAGATGCATCATTTTTAACAGAGGAAGTTATTGATCGACTGTAGTTCCGAGTTTGTATTACCTTTTGTTAAGATCTCCATTTTCTTTTTTAGAGTAAAAAATGCACATTGAGTACCCACACTGGGTAATTTGACATTGAAAAAGCCATTTTACAAATACAGCCTCCTCAGGTTAGAAAACAAACCAAAACAAAACAAAGAACAAAGTAGACCCAGCCATGGTGGCTCCTGCCAACATGGTTTTTTGTTTCTTGTTCCCAGCAGTAAGGATTCCTCTCCTACTCTGGCTTCTAAAGTGGACCAGTTGGAAGGTATGCTGAAGATGCTTCGGGAAGATTTGAAGAAGGTAAACACATAATTGTCAAAGCAATTGCCCTGTCTATGCAAATAGCCCTTGGACTGTTGAGCATCCTTTGTAAGCAGACTCCGTGAAATAAGATGTGGGTGTTTCCTTGTGCGTGTGTGTTCAGGGGGCTGCACAGGGCTTAGTTCCCCCTGGCAGGCACAGTGTGAGAAGGCCTTTGTTGTCATGTATACAGAAAGATTGTTCCCATTTCTGTGAAAGCCGTCACACCTCAGCCAGCCCCCTGGCCCTCTCCTGGCCTCCCCACCCTTGTAGGAACTATCAGTAGCCCAGATCTCCATGTCGTCGTTAATTAGGTTTCTGCACCAAGAAAACCAAATACTATTTTCTTTCTCAGGGAGCCTTGATTATATTAAGACAGCATCCACCAAAACAATCCCCTAAAACTCAAGACAGTCCTTATTAACAAAGATTTTTAAGGTACACGTTAATGTACATACATTCCTAGAATCCTAGGGTGTCGATCTCTCAATGAGCCCTGTTCCCTGGGCTTAAAGTGTCGACACCCAGCACCAAGCTGTGTATACAGGTGTTTAGTAGAATGAAGAATGAAGTGGGCAAAGAGTCAAAAACAGATCCATCCCTGCTTCTCCTGAGCTGGGCAAGGTGGGCCACACCGCTTAGTTCTTTTCTACTTTACCTCCCAGGAAAAGGAAGACAAAGCCCACCTTCAGGCGGAAGTCCAGCACTTGCGAGAGGACAACCTGAGGCTGCAGGAGGAGTCTCAGAATGCCTCAGACAAGCTGAAGAAGTTCACGGAATGGGTCTTCAACACCATAGACATGAGCTAGGGGAGGCCAGGGTGGAGAGGAGGAGGGCCTGGGGACACTCTCCAGGCAGTGCTCTGAAGCCGTTGCAAGCACTCTCAGAGCACCCGTCTCTGCGTCGTGGTCTTTGCCCCCTTTCGGGGAGTGCACAACCCAACAATTGCAGATCAACAATCATTATCTGCCTTTTGTAGAAAAGAAAAACAAAAATAAAATAAAAATTTTAAAAGGTAAAATAAAACTTTAACTGCTAAAATGTGAATGTCTTTATTTTTTTGCACAATATCTTTATCTGTTATGTATTTAAAAAGAAACTGGGCCTAGGACCAGGATGCCCTGGCCCATTTGCCTCTTTCCATCAGCTTTCTTATCTATTTCAGGTAACCCAAGCTTTCCCTTGTTATCCTGACAATGTCATTGTTCCTAGGAATTAAAGTTCTTTTTTAAACTTGTTTATTCGGAGAACGGGGAGGGGTATTTCTTTACCTGCTTTCCTAAAATGCCTGGAGAGGGAGGCGCTTTGAAAAAAATGGCACCTCTCTTGAATGACTTGTGCATGAGTTAGTCCTGTTTGTACCTACCTTGCAGAGATCAGCAGCAAGTCAGTAAGCCAGAGGGCACTGGCAGTGCCTGCAGGCCACACCCCTTTTCAATCCTATGTTGTGACGTCATTTTCTGCTCCCTTCCTTTCTCCAGGGGGGTGGTCTCCGGTGTGCTCCTCAGAGCCAGGTTTCTTGTTTGTTTGGCTTCACTTAGCTTCCCCAGATTGGAATCAACCTCTCTTCATCTCCTTGACTCCAATCCTTAGTTGGTTTCAGAATTCCCCCAAACTAAAACCTCACCTATATGCATTTCAGTCAAAAGTATAATATAGTTTTTATCTGAGATTTTTAAAGATAAAAATGTGGGCATAATTTTTTTTCTTTTTTAGTTGAAAATGACTAATACATTAGAAAAAGCTCTCCAAAGCAAGACTTCACCAGTATTTGTAACTCAGAAAAGCTAATAGTGAATGTTAATTGTGAATTTTAATCTTTGCTTGTTCGGGACAATGATTGTGATACTAGAATGGGCTTTCAAAATCTGCATGTCCCAGTGTGAAATTTAAGCACGACATTTTCTGCATCCTTTCGTGGCCTTCCAGAGGATTCTGCTGCAGAAATGATTGATGTGCTGTTTTTTCCTGTCGAGTGATGCAGGCTGCTTAGGGCCTAGGGCCACTGTTGTGAAGGCCTCGCCGCCACTGAGCACAGACACAGTGCTGACTCTAACTTGAGGAGACCCCCTTGTTGCCTTCGTAAATGTCACTAAACTGACCTCTCTTCTCCTTCCATGGTGACTCTGGCCTAAGGGACTGTTCAGCAGTCTAGCTGCATCTGCTGGGAAGTTCCTACCCTGAGTAATTTCAGCCCATTCCTTTCTGTACCCCTGAAAGAAACAGGGTGGGTCCCCCCCCCCCACTACCAGGTTTTTATGCTACAGTTTAATTCATGATTGATTTCTCCATGGATTTTTTTTTCCTTCTGGGAACATTTCTATCATGGAAATAGGAAGATTTCGGAGTGCTTTGTGAAGGTTTCAGTTGTCTGTCTCTTTCTCTTTCTGACTTGTACGAAGGAGATTGTACATTGCCTGATATCTCTTTGTAAATGAGAAATACTGCTAACATCCAAGCATTCTGAAGTCTTGCTTATCCTTCTGAGTTTACTTTTCATTTTGTTTTACATTTTGTTTGGGGACTTGGGGCAAGCTATTTATTAGAGTTTTGCAACAGAGTTCTTGTTTGAAGTCTCTAAAGACTACTTGTAAAATTCAAATAATAAAATTCATTTTAAACACTCTTTTAAAACGCTTTGGTATTGTTGCTTAAGTTTTCTTATTGGAGAGACCACCCAAGTAACTCATCCACTGTCCCTGCCTCCCCATGTTTTCCTGAAGCCCCATTAACACTAAAAGATGATTCTTCAAAGTTTCTGCCCTCTTTAGAATGTTAACAAGTTTTTTACTCTCTATCCGCATGCTCAGGCTGGAAGAGAATTCCTATTTTACCTTCTCTGCTTCTGATTTAAGATCTGCAAAGCACTTTATAATTACTTTCCTCTGGGAACCAGCAGTTGGCATAATGGCTGTGTCGCTGGACTCCCATGTAGTGACCGTGGTTCAAGTCCTGGACCCAGTGGCTTGAACTCATGCCAGGCACGTGTGTGTGTGTGTGTGTGTGTGCGCGTGCGCCCAAGATCCCGAGAGAATGGAGGAGAGAAGGGATTGTGGTGTGGCCATCCCTTCTGGGGGGTGATTTCTCGCTTTCTGTCTCCCTGTCTCTGTTTTTCTGGCACACACAAGTGCCCTATAGCAAAAAACTCCCAAAAAAAAAAAAAAAATTACTTTCCTCTCCAGTATCCGCATGTGGCTTTTCCATAACAACACTGTCTTTCCCCAAGACCAGCACATTTTTGGACTGTCTACTCCATTTCCCGATTTTTAGCGTTAGATGTGCTTGGGGAATACAAATGCCCGTTAATATTAGACTGTGTAAAATATAATTAGAAAAGTTAATCTACTGAAAAGAAATCAATGCATTCCAAAGCCAAATAGAACCATTTTTCCCTTAATCCACCATGTCAGTTTCTCTCCAGTGGTGCAGCTAATTGAGAGCTGATGGTAGGGTCTCTTTCATTTGGTTCAACAGTTCTACAAAATTTAGAATTGCAAGACTAGGACGAGACTGAATGCCACAAGATATTCTGACTAGCAAGCTAAAAAGATCTGTTTAGACCAAATTCCTACATGGCTTGGAAGATTTATACATCGTTCCTCAAGGGCTTGGTAGGTGGGTTAGGAGTCTAGGAGAAGGTACCACTAGCCTGCATCAGTGGAGGGGCTCTTCCTCTGTGAGCTGACTGAAGAGGCCAATTGATTGTGCTTCAGATCTACTGGAGGTGATAAGGCTGGGTTGGATTACTAACTCCTTGGGCAAGAATGAGTCTAGGTAGGGTAGGTCCCTTGTAGCTTACACTTTGCACTATAAGGGCAGCCCCTATCTGTCCACTGTTGTATTCCCAGTGTCTGGTATGGAGCCAGACACACTATTTTATAATAAATATTTGCAGAGTGAATATAGGAGAAAAAAGAATGAGTCTAGGGGCCAATGAAACAGACCCAGCTAACTTAAGCAATTTACCTCTAGTTAAAATGCAAAGTGACCTGGACCCAGATCCTAATCTCAGGGCACTGTTCCAACAACTACTGGGTGCTGTTCCCCAGAAGGAAGAAGACAGATTAACAGTGTACAATGGCACACCTTAGTCAGAAACACCACCAGTAAAGACTTGGGCATTGTTAAATATAAACTGTGAAATCTTAAAAGGATAATTATGCCAGACCAGCAGTGGCATGGTTGTTAAAGTGGCTGGATCCCACATGACTGACTGCATGGTTGAGTCCTGGACCTGGCAGCTTGAAAGAAATGCCGGGCGTGTGTGGGTGTGCCCAAAATCCTAAGATGAGAAATAGAGAAGAGATCACAGTAAGACCATTCCCCATGGCAGGGGAGGCTCCCCCCACCCCCCACCTCCCCACTCCCGCAATCACATGCACCGTCTGGCAAATTTAAAATAAAAAACAAACAAACAAAAAAACTATGAGACACTTATCTGAGTCCAGATACCTGAGTATTATTTTAACAGGTTAATGGACCATAGAACAGCTTTTTTAGGGGGGTGAGGTGGGGGGTGGGGGGTGGTAACAGGCTTAAATTGTAACTAAAGAGAGAAAAGAACTAAGATAATTTTTCCCCCAGAGCCCTCTGTAGGAAACTGCTGCCTATTTTAAATTCCTATGTTGCTTAGATGGGGCTGGAATTCCTTTATCACCGTTTATTTTGCAAGAGTAGTTACCAGGTTAGCAAGGGGTGACCTTGGTGACCTCCAGAGGGGATGTTTGAGGGGAGGGCTGATAATTTGGATGGCAGTGCTGCTAAGGACTGCAGGGCTGACGTGGCAGTTGAAGAGACGGGTGTGGCAGTTGAAGCTACACCCAGGGCCAGCACTCAGTGGTGGCCACACCAGGAGTACAGAGACTGGGAGTCTTGGTTCCAGACCAGGGGTGTTTAATTCAAGTCACCAACTTCCAAATTCAGCCCACCTGCTCCAGCCAATCTCCAATAACCTACCAGTTACTAGACAAGCAGGTTTCATGACTGCCCTTATCCTGGCCCGCAATGTAAACAAAAGCTACACCCAGGGCCAGCAAGTGGCATGGAGATTAAGGCACTGGACTCTCACATGGCCGACTGGGTTTTGAGTCCCGCACCCGGCAGCTTGAAAACCATACAAGGTGCAAGTGCATGAGTGCCCAAAATCCCACGAAGAGAATGGAAGAGAAGGGACTGTGGCACGGCCTTCCCCCAGAAGGGCAGTCTCTTCCCTCTTTCTGTCTCTCCCACAAGCACATGTGCCCTACAGCAAAAATCTTAAAAAAGCAAGCTTTACCTAAATGCTCGTGCTCACAAAAGTCCATTTCTCCACTGCAGTCTAGAGAGAACAAAAAGAGCAGGGCTGCTCATCCCTCTATGCTTCCCATAAGCTGTAAGTCGGAGACTGAAGACACTGGCTGGCTTTTCTGAGGAGATAATTACAGCTTTGGGGGTGGGTGGTTCCTTTCTGTTTTTGTTTTATCCTTGTGCCTTGGCCCCATCATCGCTCTTCTTCCTAGCCTGCCAGTCTTGTGCTTGCTCGACCCCTTGCCAGATTAGGCTGTCCCATCCTCCACCCTTTCAAATCAAGCATCTCCCACCTTGCCTTTGTGCGTCCGGTCGTCACACCTGAGACCTGAGAGAGCCATTCACCTACCCTGTCTCGCATCACACCCCTCATCCTGCCCGTCCGTCCTGTGAACGTGTCTCAGATGTCTTCCATCACCCGCTCAAAATGAGCACGCATCATTCTGCCTCTTAGGCAGCTCCTGAGTCAGGCTCACGCCGCCTTTATACATGTGCTGCTTATTTTATCCTTCGCTTTGTACCTTTCAAAGATCTCCCAGACAGAATACCCAACCTCTGAGCACTGAAGTGTATCTTTACAGGAACGCATTCCATCAGGGATCCCATCACACGATCTGTTGATGCATCTGGGATTCTTTTTCCTTAGCCAAAGTATCGTGTTCTTTTAAATGGGCTGGTCTCCCTAACATTTTTTAGATCTCCTTAACACACCCATGAGTCTCTATCAAGCTCACCCAGCCACACCTTTCCTAGGCATTTCTAGAATTTGCGGTTCAAGAGAAGCGTCACGAAATGTGCCAGTAACGTCTAGCCAGAGTACACGAGGCCTGGGAGGGCGTGAGTCTCCAGTCCCACACCAGTGCCTCTGCCTCCTGCTGTTAAAGTGCTCCAAGCTCCCTGCACACCGCATGGACCCTGCCTGACCAGTAGTCACATTCTCCAGGTTCTGTCACTAAACCCAAGGAATAATTTCCTCCCCACACTAGCCCCTCCATCATACACGCCACCCTCACCTATTCTGTATTTCTGGGAGTGAAAAGTAGGGAATGCATTTAAAGAAGGAATTTTATTCCAATTCAAATAGCAAACTAGACCTTATTAAGGAAGTTGCCTGGAGGGGGTTCTTTCGTCCACAGTCTTGGTGGGGAGGTAGGATGGATTTGTAACCGACCTAGTTATTTTTCTAAAGAGCTTAAGGGTATTCGAACACAGTTACTTCTAAGGAGCTTAAACATTGCCTTACAGTCTTAGACAATGGATATGCTTAGCAGACTCTTTTTTCAGTTGGTACTGTTGGGCCTTGAAAAATGATAACCCAGAGGCAGGCACTTTGGCTTCTGAATGAAAGAAACAGCCTCAGAAGCAAGGTCCCCCCCTCCCCCCCACATCTTGTCACCACCCCACCCCCATCTGACTGGAGACATTTTTTTCTTGTAGAACTACAATGGTCTGTAAAGCCCTTCTCTAGGAATCTTGTCAAAAACCAGGAAAGAATAACCATTAGATAAGAAAGATTGAAAGTCCTCACGCCCAGACTTTTTATCTGTTCTGAGGGCAGCTCTGAGATTGCCGAAGTATCATCTGCGTCGCAAGACAAGTTTTGTTCCTGTGCAGTTGCGCTGCTTGCCTCTCACCTTTTAGTAATATCTTCATCCCATCCAGCTCCCAGAGAATCGTTTTCCTTTTTTTCTAGAGATATTTTTGTTATAGGGCATATGCGCTTGCTAGAAAGACAGAGACAGAGAGAAAGTGAGAAATCACCCCTCGGGGAGATGGCCATGCCACAATCCCTTCTCTTCCATTCTCCTTTTGGGATTTTGGGCATACACACTCATACTCCTGGCGAGTTTTAAGCCACCAGGTCTGGGACCCGCACCAGGGCGACAATGTGGGAGTCCAGTGACGTAACCATTCTGCCATCTGCTGGTTCAAGAATCATTTTCTGGCCCTTGTTGGAGCATGGAGCCCATGGGTTTCCTCATTTTCCTTTCTCCTCTGAAGGCAGGTGTATAAGCCTTACCTATGTCTCCCCTCTTTCTGTTCGTATTTTCTGCGACTCCAGTGTACCTGCCTGTACATTAAGTCAAATCTATATGTCCTTTCTCTGATTAATCTGCCAGTTGGCAGTGATTTTCAGTGGATCTTCAAAAGGGGGAGGGAACACTCCTTGGCCCCTATGGTAAAGATAGACTTAGCCCAAGGTAGGCACATTTCAAATGAAGGAGCTTCTGCCTGCTAAAATGTGTACATTAAACGCAGTCGAGCTTACTGTAAAAGCCACCAGCTGGGGTAGGAGCTGGACTGCTCCACTGGGCACCGGGGATGAACAATTCCACCCAA